ATCACCCGGCTGCAGAGGTCTGAAGCAGACAGGAGAGTGATCCTGACAACAAACGTGTGTGGCCTGGTGAAGAGTTGTGGAGGAGTTGTCCTTGTGCCACACAGGAGTAAAACATTCTGGACACTATGACCTAAACGTTGTCAGGCGATCCCCCAGACATCAGAATAAACACGTAGAGATTCCCGAAGGATTTTCTGGAGCCTAACAAAAGCTGATGAAGTCCTGTGGTCCTACCCCCCCTCCCCCCTTTCTGAGAAAATCACTTTATAAATGAAACAATAATGGCCTTGGGATATGTGTGTGTGTGTGTGTGTACGTGCGTACATGTGGGCGTGCGCAAGCATGCACGTGAGAGTGCGCGCGTGCACGTGAGTGTGTGTGTATGCGCGTGTGCACGTGAGTGCGCATGTGTGTGTGTTTTGTGCTCATGTGCACGTGTGTGTGTGTGCGTGCATGTGCGTGTGTGTGTGCGTGCATGTGCGTGTGTGTGTGCGTGCATGTGCGTGTGTGTGTGCGTGTTCTGATCAGGGTTTTAGATGCTTCTGTTCACTGCAGACATTCACTTTTGTTTGTTTACCTTATCTTGTTTTCTGAGACATTTTCAGCTTCACTTTGTACTCCTCGACTGGCAGAAGCTATCATGTGTGTGTGTGTGTGTGTGTGTGTGTGTGTGTGCGTGCGCGTGCGCGTGCGTGTGTGTGCGCACGCACATGCATGTGTGTGAGAGAGAGCGTGAGAACGAGGCTGAGACAGACACATCCACCCCTGGGCACATGCCACCACTGTGTGTGTCTCTGCTCACGCGTTTGTGTGTGTGTGTGTGTGTGTGTGTGTGTGTGTGTGTGTGTGTGTGTGTGTGTGTGTGTGTGTGTGTGCGCATGTGTGTGTGTAGGATCTCACGGCGGTTGGAATCACTAAACCGGGTCACAGGAAGAAGATGACGTCGGAGATCAACAAGATGAGTGTCACAGAGTGGCTTCCTGAGCACAAACCTGTGAGTTACTCAGCAGAGTTGCTATGGCAACAGAAAAGTGACCGACACCACTATAGGAAGCCTAAGGCTCCTCCCCCTCAGGGTCCCCGAACAGCCTTACACCCTGAATCACACATATGTTGTACTTCAGTTTAAATGATAAATAATCGTGTGAGTCTGTTATGTAATCTGGGATCCATCAGCTTGTAAGAATTGGAAATTAGAAAGACTACAGATCAGACGTGTCATATATGACGTCACGGTAGAACCTCCTCTCCCCCAGCGTAGCTGCTACTGACCACATGACCAGATTTTAGTGTTTTTCTTCACATTCACTGCTCCTTCTGTCGTCCTAAATGTATTTTCTCCATGTCCGGTTTGATGACGTCATTTTAGTGAGACGGACATTTGTAGTCGCCTACGTCTTTTTACACAAACCTGAAATAACTTTTGCCACCTGTTGAAAATCGGCACTTTCTTGGAATCAAAATGTGTCTTACAAATTCACAGACTTGATACGTAAACCCATGCCACATATCAAACGGAATAAGAGCATTTTGTTGGCAGTAGGTCCCATGGTCTGGAAGTAGATGGGCGGGGCTTAGGCCCCCTATAGTGGCTTTAGGATCTTTTCGTGTTTGTATGATGTGATGAAAATGATCGGGTCAGTAGACGGCCTTTTGTGGTGTTCCTACAGAGCAGCCTGGGTGAGTGGCTGTCTGCCATCGGTCTGAGCCAGTACCACCAAGTTCTGGTGCAGAACGGCTACGAGAACATCGACTTCATCACGGACATCACCTGGGAAGACCTTCAGGAAATAGGCATCACCAAACTTGGTAAGATTTACACCAAATGAGAGGACAGCCCTGTTCATGGTAAAGCCTGGATGTGTTTATGATCACGTTTAAAACGCAGTCATGCAAACCAATGACCCAGTGGTCCATGTTTTGGCCAAGGATTTGGTGAGCTTTGGTGATTTGAGTCTTCCTGCAAAGTTAAATCAAATGAAGGAACGTGTGCTGGATTTGAAGCTAAGGTCAGTTTTCGGTGGAAGGTGTTCATGTTTGGTGAATGAATACGTCGTCTCCACATCGATGAAGACATATGTAATGACAGGATTACATTGTTATTTAGATTTGGGACAGCAGACCTACATTTGTCTCTGTGGTCAGCTGTTAGGGACAATACCAGAGACGGTAACGATCAGAAGAAGACAGCTGAGATTGGTCAGTCTGAGCTTCCTTTGCCAACTTGTTTCCTTGGCGACTTGACCTTGGATAAGTGGGCACAAGTGTGTGAATCTGAAATCTTGTGCTGTAATCTCAGCCATCAGAGTGTTTTCTCATCTTTGGGCTAGAAAGCAATATTTGTTTCAGGTTTTATACAGAAATTCATAGAATGTATGATTCATAAGGTGTACACCGGTTGATGTAGCTTCATTTTGACGTTTGGATGAGGTAGACGAGGTTGCTTTTTGACAGGCGGTCCTCTAAAGTTTAACCAAAACTGTTCTGATTGTTGAAGGTC